GAGCCGGGGGGTAAAATGAAGACTGGAGGTAAAATGAAGACTGCATGCAGACCAGGGGTAAATACAGTCCGCAGACTGTACATATAAACTTTTTGGATCACGAGCGTATCGATAGAGGGTATCGATCGACAGTCGACTGCGGATGTTTTCAGTACACATGATTCAACTTTTTCACTGAATCGTGTTACCGTTTCCACCATTGAGAACTGATCGTAAACAGGCTAACTGGAGCGTTATTTAGCGGCTAACCTGAGTGATATTCATGATCAGGCTAATTAACCGGACTACAACTTAACCAGAATAACTCTGTTTACGATTAGCATTCGATAATGGGAAGAGCACGATATATTCTTAAAAAGTCTGTAGACTGCAGTCTGCATTTTACCCTCAGTCTTCATTTTACCTCCGGTCCGCAGTCTGCGTTTTACACCGACCGGAGGTCTACGAATCGACAAACGTGGTTTATACAGCACTCAGTTTTAGGTCAGTACCTCGTGTCCTCGTAAAGCCAGCTCTTTTAGGGGACTGCTGATGACATAGTAATGAGATCCCGAACCAAAAGCACTGTATCCCAAGATTTTAGCAGAAAAAGCTGTCTTAACAGTAAGAAGCAAGAGCAGGAAACACAACGACGCCATGTTGTAAAAGAAGTTTTGCATATTTGGGGACACTTGAATCGGAACGTAACGCAACTCTTCATGATTGTCACACCATCCCAATTGAAGCTTCGATCAAAAATTTCGTTTTAAATCTTTCGATAATTTCCAATGGAAATAGGACAGCATTTTCTGATTGACTGAAAAGAGTTTAAGAAAAATGATTAAGAGCCCTGTTCAGTCATCTTTGACAGTTCTTGAAAAGGATTGTCTCCAGGGTTATGATTTCGGGAGATCATTTCACCTTTTAGGACGGAAGGTCACGCACTGCTTTTCTGTGACAATTGCAACTAAGTCATATTATTTTAATGGTGACTGAGCCAAAAGAGCTGAGCCAATCCAAACTATGATATGTCAATTAAGAAATACTAAGCGATTCACATGAGTCCAAGGTCTCAATAACGCNCTGAGCCATGCAATCCAAACTATGATATGTCAATTAAGAAATACTAAGCGATTCACATGAGTCCAAGGTCTCAATAACGCAGCGCATAGAATATGAAGCCATGAGCTGTGACAAAAAAAACAGTTCTGCATGCTGCACCCGTCACGAAAATTTTCCACGGTGATCCGCCGCAATATATAGTCTTGGGCTTGAGCCTTTTTTAAATTTTAGAGTCTCAGACCTTAGCTGCTGTGCGTATAATTTTGAAACCTTGGCGTCAGGAAGAAAAAAATATATACGACATTAACATGTTTCCTTTACTTTTTATCTGTTTCAATCGATTTTATGCAGTTTTATAAGATTTCGTAATTTTTAACACTTAACTGAAATTTTTTTTCCCGTTACTCGGTTTCTCGTTACTTCGTTACTCGTTACTCGTTACTTTGTTAATCTGTTTAGCAACACCCGTTGTTCTGTTTGTTTGTTTGTTTATTTGTTTTAATTTAATATTTCTTTTACAGACTGGAGTCACCATCAAATTGTTATGAGTAAAAAGAAATGGTGAATGATTTCAACAATAGCGACTAACAAACTACAGATTTGCTTAGAACTACCTGGATCACACACAATACTACTTTGAACGACTAGTTGTACAAATCTGAGCCGTTACAGTAACTTAAAACATTTATTCACATAGTCTCACCGAAAAAATGACCGAACTTTGATTCGAGATCTAACAACAAACGGTTCACAACTTATGACATCACGGCAAAGCAAACTATCTCAGCTTCTTTTTATCTTCTTAGCACAATCAGTGCCCAATGTTGCCTTTATGAGATGCGCCTGCAGGGAATCATGGTTGTTGTATTCATCATCTTGGTCTGGATATTTATTCTGGTGAATACAACCACCATGATAACCTGCAGGGGCGTCTCATGGAAGGAACTGGCCGTTGCAATACTGCAGAACGGACAAACTAGCCAGAAAGCCCACGTGCGATCTCACGCCTTCTTAGTTTTGCTTTCACCCTTTCTACAACAAACGCCGCAAAGGCATCTACATGTCAATCCTATCACCATGGCAACCAAGGTAACTATAGTAACAAGAAAAGCCATGACGTCAAGTAAGTAGTATTGATACCAAGGGATGTTGTACGCTTGACCTCTGAGGTGTTGGGCTCCATGTCTGAGAACATGCTCTATCCAGTCACCGGCTTTCTCTGACGGGGTCCGTGGACTGTCTTTCATCAGCCGGGAAATGCGCATTGCCTCTGCTCTGAATCTAGAATAAGCATTTGAAAAACTGAGTGAACTGCTTGTCGAATGAGCAACAAAAAGCGAGGGAAAGAGTGTGTTGGTGCAGAGGTTTCTTGGGAAGCGCGATGAAGGGAATGGCGAAAGGTAGGGAAGCGGGGATAAAAGGGATAGGGGATATTAGGGATAGAAGGAGGAAGGAAGAAAGGTACCAGGGGGAACTTGAGTAGGGGGGAAGGAGGAACGTAAGGAGGGAAGAAAGAAATGAGCGAGGAAAGGAGACGGGTGGGAGGAAAGAGGGAAAGAAGGAGGAAGGGAACAGGACAAAGGGAACTGAAATGAGAAGGAAGGACAGAGGGAGGAAGCGAAGGTGGACGGAAGGCTAGGAAGGGAAGGAGGAGGGAGAAATGGTGGAAGAATGGGAATAGGTTTTTATCGATTGTGCTAATTTCCGACCCTTAAGTCGAAACAAAATGGATAACGGAAATGCTCACCTCGGTTCATTAACTACACGCTCAATTGTCTCAGATAGTTGTTCAGCATCTGTAGTTTCATGATCCACAGCTATTCCCAGTCCAAACTGTTCTGCTTTCTGGGCGTTGGCAAATTGGTCCGAAAATAACGGAAACGCCACCACAGGGACACCATGGTACGCTAACTCATAAAGACTGTTGTGTCCCACATGGGAGACAAAAGCTTTGATGTCCTTGTGAGCCAACAGATCGTTCTGAGGTAACCATGACACTACTTTGATGTTTGGCTTGAGAGACGGTGGAACGTAGTCTAGAAATAGCATATTACTGTAAGTGTAGTTTCAAGTCACTTTTATAAAATCAGTCAAATGTATCATTCTTGCATTTTTCTTGTCCTTATTATTTGGGGGACAGACGCATCAACGATATGAACATCAGTGATCTCGTGTGCCACTTTTTCGTTATGAGAACATTTTGACGTCATCTGTGACCCATCAGAGAAGCTTACGCAGTGACGACGGCGACGCCGAGGACGTCGGCTAGAAAAAATGGATTTACATTGTACTTTTGAATTTTGCAATTATCTAGAACTGTACAGTAGGCCGAGCGGTCTAAAACTCCACTCAATCCAAATATGTAACGGCAGCGATCAATTTCAGAAGAAAAAAATTAGCATCGTGGCTCACATTCTTCAAAATACGCAAAACTTGACGTTGTTGCTTTGCAGCGAATGGTTACAAAATGTACAAAGATTTGTAGCGCACGTGCATAACCATTGTTCTGCTTAGTAAGTGTTTTGGTCGGTGACGTTCTTGTTGCAGTTGGCGTCGTGCTTAGCTTAAGCTCCCTGTTGTTACTGAACAGAAACCCAGCAACATGGAATCTTATTTGTTCAGCAGAGTTAATAGCACATATAAAATGCCGCTTTATCTGAAATCGAAATGACTACTTGCGACGTACTCTCCGAAAGGTTGTTTTAAGTAAGTACGTCATAGTTTGTTTAATAAAGCAGGTTAGCAGATGCAGTAAACCTACAGTAGTAGCCAGTCAATCAGTCTGTTAGTTAATTAGTGAATAAAGCAATCAAAGAAGAATTGCAGCATTATCACCTTTATTAAGCTTCCATAGAACTCTTTGCTTTAACTTTCCGAACGCGGTGGCCAGCATCATTATCTTTTCTTTACCAAGGGCTGCTTCCACGTATGATCCAAATGAAACCATTACAAACCCATACCCTCCTGAATTATTGACAAAGGATTCAAAATCAGGGGGGAGCTGTGAAGGCCTCTGGACTGTTACTGGACCAACCATGATATGACCTGAGACATATTTTGACAATCATTAGACAAACGATCTTTTAGTGTCATAAATCCCACATAACAGCAGTCTATCTTCAAAACTAGTGGAAAAATCCTAAAACCTTACATAGACAAAAGATATTAAAATTTAGGTCAAGCACTAGCATATACAAATCAGTGGCGGATCCAGACCTTGAGCTAAGGAGGGTGGTGGAGTGGGG